GGACTTAGAGTGGCTTGGCTCTGGAGTTGTAACACCAAGAGGGAGATGACAGACAGGAAATCTATAGCCTGGGAAAGCTACGAATGAAAGAAATCATACTCTGCAAATTAAAACCATAAAATGTTATTTCAAAAGTTTATAGATTTATATAGATGCTTTATCTCCAGTGATATATCATATGAGGGGACAAAATATTGCTGTAAATAGGTTTGAGACCTAAGACAGGGACCTATTTCAGCTTAACCCTGTGAAAACACAGCATTCCTCCCTTCACACCCTGTGTCATCTTCTTGTTCAGCAGACAGAAATATCGGTAGGTACAGGTTTATTTCAGAGCCCCCTTCATGCAGTGACCCCCATTGTCTGACTTCTTTTTCACACTACTCTGCTGTTATCTCCACCATTTTCTCCCCATACTCTGGAAACTTCTTGCCTGTCTCAGATTCTGCATGGGTTGCCCAAGGCTGTGGGCTGAGGTATGGGTGTGTGGGGCCTTCCTTTTTTTCAAATACCCGCACTTCTTAAGTGGTATAGAGCATCCAAAATGCAGGGATACATATCTCCATACATAGATTTATGGAGATACTAATAACATTAACAGTGGATAACAAATATTCAGATCACCAGGTGTTCAAAAACAGCAAAGTGTCTGCACCAAGGGTGTCCTTGCAGTGGAAGCTCAACCTTGTTGTGCTTGTGTGCAGTGAGGCAAGGTTTCATGACATGATCACACAGGGGGTTTTTTCACTTTCTCACACAGCCTTTGAGTAGAGCAATTAGGAGGCAGCTGGAGCAGCCACTGCAGTGTGCACTGGGACTTAAGAGTGACTCTCTGTCCACCTCCACATGGCACTAACACTGTGTCACCTTGGCTGTGCATGAGATTGAGTCTGGTCGTGGTGGACACACTGCACGTGGAGCCTGTGGGGAAGCAGGTCAGCATCCTGCTGCTGTGGCTTTGGAATCACTGATGATAGGGCCATGTCACTGAACTCAGTGATATAAGATCAAGTTAACATCCAGAATTATCTCCAAAACCTCAGATTTTCACATTTCAGGATGTAAAACACAACCCCCCTTTCTGCACTCAGTTTTCTAACATGACTGGCCCAGTCTGCGTGTCTTGTTCTGGAGCTGGAAGCAATTGCTGGACAGTATATGGAAGATACCATATGGTATTCCATATTCAAATATATGGTATTCTTGCTGAACAGGGCAAGATGAAAAGGAAGGAGGAAGTTTTTCAGCCAAGTAAATAATTCACGCAGAAGAATTTTCCCAGAGTATCCAACCTTCTCTTCTGCTCGCATCATGATGATGCAATTGCTGTTCCCTGGTATTTATGTACCTTTCAATATTTCTGTTACTTTTTTAGCTCTGTGGATTGTTGTGAAACAGTGTTCTGTGAGCTATCATGAGTCATGGTGTTGGCTTGGTGGGATTTGGGTGCTCTTACTGTGTTGTTGGTGCTTTCTGTTTGGATGAAAGACCAGACACTTCCAAGATAAATGCTCCTGAACTAATATAAACTTCAGTTTCTCTAAAGACTGTTCTGTGAAGGTCAGACACTGGCTTTCTTTAAATGCAACTGCTGGTACAACTCAATTGCACAAATGTTTGCAGATAGTAGAAAGAAAAGAGTCACAAAGAGAGCTTGAGATAACAGAATGGAAGAAATGGTCTGCAGTACAGATTTTAGCTGTTAAAGGGTGCTGAGCTCTTTCTGTGCTCAGAGATGCTTATGGTGCAGAATCTTCATATGCATCAAAGATTAAACTTAGGCAAGTGCTGGAAGGATCACTCCTCTGTGACCTGTCTCTCAGAGAGCTTTTTCAGTCTCGTATCTGTTAGAATGTGGTTCCTGTTCCCCAGGCTGCTGTTATCTGCTCCTGCAGATAAGGATGGTGTGGAATGTTGTAGTGTATGTGATGACTGTTCACTGTGGCTGGTTCCTTCTGCTGAAATCAAAAGATGTTTTATGCCTTTTTTGCTTCCCTCATTGATCTTAGGGCTCTAAGTGTTAACTGACTTTCTCTTTCATGCTTTGCAAAATCAGGGAGTTCACTGAAGGAGAGCATTCCAAGCTGCTTTTGAGAACCCTGATGTTTGCGTCAGGTGACAGAGGATATTACTAAACTGGCTTCTTGAAAAGGATCCTTGAGGACCCAGTGCTGTCACTGTGTTAGAGTAGGATGGCCTCAGGTAGGACTGGTTGGCTCTGGGGCAGCGAGTGCCTGGGCCAGCACAGGAGCTGTTCAAGCGGTGCAAGGTCCCAGATTAGCCAAGGCGTAAGTGCTCTGCTCCATTACAGCCTCACTGCAGCTCCCAGGGAAAGAACCTGGACCTGGTGTGGTTCAAGCTGCTCACCTTAGTCTGCTGAAGCTCAAACCCCCAGCCTGAGGACCCTGGTGAAGCTGTGACCATGCCAGCTGCTTCCTCTGGCTCTGCCGAAGGCCTCTGGCTTCCTGTTCGGCTGCCTGTAAAAGCATCTTTCTGCCAAGAAAGTGTGAGTAATCTTGCCCAGCTTCTTGGCATTTGTTGACATAGAGTTAACCTTATGACTCTGATGTAGGTTTCAAGGGACACCCATTCACCCAGGGATCCAGTGCTTCTGGGAATGGGTGAGGCATGGACAGGACATGGTTAGGTTGGTTCAGAGGTAAGGAACTGGTAGGAGGAGACACCTCTGCACCAGGACAGCTTTACTGCTCCCCCTGAGGGTCAGGGGAGAACACAGACCTCCAGATGTGGAATTGGAATGGGGAAGGGAAAAGCCAGAGGCCAGGGCATGGAAGACTGACATGAGGGCCAGGGTTTTCAAAGGTGTTTCTTGAAGTAGAGGGATGTTGAGAGAGATGAGTGGAGGGGGCTCTGGGGGTCAGTGGTGGAAAGAAGGGCACTATGCACTTGCAGGACTGTAATACAATATATAATATACTGTCCAGTACCCACTTGCCCCTACAGGCAATAGAGAGATTCCTGTGTGGGTCTGCAGTGTTGAAAACGTCTATTTATTTTGTCTGCCTCCATGATTAGGAGGCAAATTTAGGGCTTATCTACTTGGGGAAATCCCTGTAAAATAGGCTAGGGTATGAATTTACAGCCTACTTAAAGACCCAGCAGTAGATGCAGTGTAAATTCACACTTCAGCTTACTTCACAGGAACTCCCCCGCAGAAACAAACCCTCAGAGTCACCTCTGTACCTCAGCCTGGTGCTAAAAGTGAGTGGAAGCTTTGCAAAATATGGGCCTGCAGTTCCATTTTTATAGCTGGGTTTTTCTGTCCCCTGGGGCTTTTTGCAGCTGTTGTAAATCACTGTCTCTTTGCTGAGGCTGGAGAAGCTGGGCCACTTTACACTGCTCAGGATCTGACCCTTTGCCTCAAGTAACCTTTTATTATCAATCGGCCAGAGGGTATTTTCCTTTTTGCTGGCTTCATTATTAAGCTTGTTCATTCACTCCCACCACTACTGATGCCTTTTTTTCTCTTTCTTTTTTTCTCCCTGTGAATTTTGTGTTGTGTCTTTCCTCCCATGTAATTTCCTAATAGTGAACTAGTGACAGAGTGGGCTGCTGGTATTTCATCTTGTGGCTGGAGAGGTCAGGCTGTTTCTGATACAGACAAACGCTCCATTACAGTAAACTCACAGAAAGTTTCCTTTTCAACCTTAAAGGAGAAGGAAATGCACTCTCCACCAATGGGCTTTCAAGAATGACTTCTGTGAGCTGAACTTCTACTAAAGGCCAGTTTGGTCATGTTCTGTGAGCAAGGGGGAAAAAAAAAGCGGAAGACGTAATATTTTTTCTTTCTCTTTTTGCTGAGATTTGGCTTGACTCTTGGCTCCTTATCAGATTAGAGTCCTGCAGGGAAAACAACAACCCTTTGCACTGTGAATTGTTGAAGAAATGGTCATTGCTGATGTCCAGCTGAAAGAGCATAAGGGTTTAAACCTTCGAAGTTCTCTGCTTCTGGTATTTAGGGACACTTGCTTCTTGGCAGGAAGAACTCACTAATAAGGCAAATACATAGCACAATACATTTCTTGCTGTACTCTAGGGCAAGACTAAAAGGACTGCCCCTGTCTACTTTATGGCAGTTTAATTTAAATTTATTAGACAGCTCCAGGGTATACACAGGAGTCTAATCCTGTAATCCATGGTGGGGCTCTGTGTACCCAGTATTACAGTGTTCCCTGTAAATGGAATAATTTGACATAAAATGTGCTCTCTACTTCTCAGGAGAGAGCAAACTTAACAGAGTATTGTCTTACTGTTCACTACTTGGACTTAGCTGAGTTGCCCTTTATTAGAAAGGCATGAATAAAATTAATCCAAGTGTTGAAGGAACAGGAGCTGCAAGATAATAAATATTTATGTCCCAAACACGACATAGTATCATAAATCAATAATTTCTGAAGATATTTAATTCTTCTTTCTGCCTAATTACTTGATTTGTGGCGCCAGTTTGCTTAAATTTGTTTCTGTGATAACTTGAGTTATTTTATGCCTCTCCCTTCTACAGAAAATTTGATTTGCTGATTTCCCCTTTAAATGCAGTCAAAAATCCCCTATTTGCGAAATTAAGAAACCAATAACATGGAATGAAAACATGCATTACATTGCGTTGCCTGAACTCTGATTTGCTGATGCTGACACGTGCTGCCAATTACTAAAATACATGTTGTTGTTAAATATATACTGGTTTATTTTCCATACTATCCTGGCATTTTACCTGTATGAAGAAAATAGGTTAAAGAGTAGTTAAAAGTTTGGTTCATTAAAGTGTGGGAGCATATTATCAGTTGAAAAACGTTATTTGAAAGATGACTTTAAGCTTGAAGCTGTTCTATTATTGGAATGAACATGGCAAGGTCAGATGTAGACCAAGTGAAAAGGAAGTCAATGGATGTGTTGGCACACATTTGTGGTGGGTGTAAGTCACGAATGTTGAGTACACTTGATAGTCTTCTCCCATCTTTCATAGACTGATTTTTATTATTTATGAAATACTTGCAGAGAAGGGACTGTGTTCTCCTGCTGCTCTTGGTTTGTGGTTTGCCTGCAGCAAATGCAGCACTTGCTCTAGACAGCCTGGTTAATTTATAAGCGTTGGAAATAGAATCTTCTGAGGAGCAGTACAGGACAAACTGCTGTAAGTAGTGCTTTCAGAGGATTCAGTTCATGTTGCTTGATAGCCATGTTTCAGCTGGTGGCATGTGCTTGGATGTGACTGATCTTTTAAAAGCTGGTTGGTGAGGGATGTTGTCCTAAGCTTGGGGAGCCCAGTGGAGCAGTCAGTGCCTGGCTGCCTGACACTGTATGCTGACTCAAACAGAAACCCTTTTTTCTTTCCAGATGTAGGTGACATAGTCACTGTAGACATTTGCTCTCCTGCCTCAGCCACAGGGTAGGTACAAGCCCAGCCAGGTCGGTATCTCACTGCCATTGCAGACAGACTCTGTGCCAAATCTATGTGTAAAGACATCTCAGTTACTCTGGTCAACATTCCCATGTGAAAAGAATGGGTAGGATATTTCAGAGGGATAACAATCCACAAGTCAGTGATCAACGAAGCGTTAAATGAAGAATGATGTGTGCCATTCGCAGTCTTCACACCTACAAGGAATCTTTTCAGAGCCTGACTGTGTCGTATTTCATCGAGATACCTGCTGAATGTGTTCAGAATATAAATGCACAAAATCCTATTCCCCTCAGGAGATAAAGGGCTGTGTGACACCAAACAGCTGAGTGTTTCAGAGCCAATGGACCTTGATCCAGTCCCTGGGCCTGCTCCAATGGATCTTGAACTGCCCTCTCATGGGCATGGCAGAACCCCCACTGCAGAACAGGCAGCCAGGACCACTGGAGGACAAGGTCTGTGTGTGCAAATCTTGTCCCTCTGTGTGATGTAGTGGATCCCTTGGGTCATTTTTGCTTCCTGGCAATGCAGCTATTGCTGAGAGAAGCCTGGCAGCCTGCCCTGCCTGGTGTGCCCCCGCAAAAGCTTTGAAACCAGCAGGAGGGTCTAGCTGCTTTCCCACTGTCAGGGCCTTGCTCTTCCCTGCCACTTCCCCAGCTGTGCAGCTTGGGCCCAAGCAGACCCTCTGCAGAAGGGTTAAAAGTACTGCAGAAGCCAAGCCAAGGATATAAATCAAAGCTGTGTTGAAAGCATGGGGTTACAGGTGTTTGTCTGGACAGAAAGTTTTGTGCAGGATACCAGGATCATGCACAAGGAATCTCATGACCTGATTTCCAAGCTGTTGGGTCAATAGTTTCTTTTCTTTGACTGAAAACATAGGCAGCATGTGAATTGGCAGTGGCCTTTCTGTTGGACAGATGTGTGATACACATCGGCACACAGGTAGGCTGTGGCACACTTGGGTCTCATGTGGAATAGCTGGTGACTTCTAAGGGAATTACCTTCTGTTTCATTGTCATTGATATTAGTGGCTTTGGATTACTGCTTTCATGATAGTTTTATAGGTTATTGTGACAAGAAGCCACGGTCTGAGCTCCTTTTTCATTTGCCTTGACCATTATACACATTCAAAAGAAAAGGCCATTCAGGTAGGATACATCTTATCCTCCTTGAGCTGCGTGAAGGCCAGGACTCTAGTAAATGTGTATGGGTGCTCTCTGTTTCTCCCTCATCACTGAAGGTAGCCAGAGTGATTCATTAGGGATGTATGAGAGTGAATCATCCAGCAGCACTGTCTGTCTCTGCTGGTGGTGGAGAGAGCCAAGCCTAGGCATTAACTCTAGGCTAAAGGGGCATGCTTTTCTTGCTCAGAGCCAAGTGTGAGTTTAATTTCCAATTCGCAGTATTTAGGTGCAAACGAGCATAAAAAGAGTCTGGAGTGCTGCATGTCTGCAAAGGCATCTGTTGCCCACAGAGAGATCAATGTGCTGCCGATGCTTGAGCATTCTGCATATGCCCAGAGCTCCTCTTTGCCACGTCTTCAGTGAGCATCTCCTGCATGATGAGACACAGAGAGGCTCCCTTTTGCTGAATCTGCAGGGGCAGCTGTGACTTCTGGCAGGATGTACATAGACAGCTAGGTTGGACATAACATGGAATCACAGAATCATTAGGGTTGGAAGGGGCCTCTGGAGATCATCCAAGGCAGGGTCACCCAGCACAGGTGACACAGGAACACATCCAGGTGGCTTTGGAATATCTCCAGAGGGAGACTGCACCTCCTCCCTGGGCAGCCTGTTCCAGTGCTCTGCCACTGTATCTTAAGGGCTAGTAGAAGCTGCTAGTAGAGTTCATCTATCAGAAACCTCACTCCTGGTTTCCTCATGCCAGCAGCATATCCAGGTCAGTTAGAGGCTGGAGAAGATAAAAGTGTACTGGACTGAAGGTTTGTACCCCTTCCTGTGGGACACATCAGCACCTCTTAGGTTAGTGTTGCTTCACTCATACCAGGCAAAGCAAGGGCTACCTCAGAGTTAGAGACCTTTTATGATGTTAAGCATGGTGCCAACAGGCATTTGTTTTAAATGAGCGCTGGAACATAATTAAAATGGTATCTTTACAGTTTCTGGAAGATCTCTCTCTGGGAGAAGGAGGGCTGCTGTGAGTCTTATTTCACTGTGATCAAGTTATTCCTCCCGGACAGTGTGAAAGACAAATCGGGGAGTTTTGGATACCATCTCTTGAAGAGAATGAATCTGGATTCAGTGCAGCTGGCTGTAGAAAGGTGAGGCCTAGCAACAACTGCAGGGCACAGTTGCTATTCCTGTTGTCCCTCTTCATCTTCTTTTTATACATAGATTATCTGATTTTTCTAGCTCAGGCATGCTTTACTTATGGTGTTGGCATTCAAATCCAAGACTACTTATGGAGATAATCTGAATTACTTCATAATTATGAGAAATCCTGGGGAGGCTTCTCAGTGTTTACAGAGGAGCATCTTGCTGTACCACAGTCTAGATATGTCAACACAGCCAAATCTCGTTTTAGTGTGTTATAGTTTAATTAGCTCCACATCTTGAGTCATAATCTGCTTCTCTGGGGCTGAAGCACACACACACGCACACACAAAAGACAAAATGCAAAATGTAAAGAAGTACTTGTGGTCTTTGCCACTTGGATTTGGTACCATTTGTTAACATGGCTTCTCCTAAAGTCAGTTTCTAGTTTGTTTGTTGAATTGGAGTTTCATCTCATGGATAACATTTCCCATCATTGTGAAGCTGTCAGCTGTAGCTCTCCTGAGAAAACCACCCTACTAGTCTGAGATCTGAGGCATAATTGTCTCCTGCTCAAAACCGTCTTGCTTCCAGAAAGCAGCAGCACTGTTTGCTGTAGCTGAAGATCTACCCCATAAAGTCTTTACAGGGCAAATTCTAATCGGGCGGTGAAGCAAAATGTCATTCCAGAGGACCAATTGTCATGCAAACCTTGACAGAATTTCCCCAGATGTGCTAGATGCATCTGGACTTCCCAAACCAGAGATCAATCTTTGGCTTCTCTAGAATATTACTTTACTATTAACTTTTTCTGTTTACTCCTCTGTCAGAAGGGCTGCTATTTCTGATTTTGCATCCTCTTTTTCACTACCCCTGTCTTTCAAAGACAAGGTGTTGGAGGGATTTGAAGAGCTGAAATATAGAATGGCCAGCCTGTGCCTTGGAGATGTGTGTAGCGATTGAGTGTTTCGAGCGTGTCTCTCACATTGGAACATCACACACAGAGGTCTCTGTGCTGGCCAGGGGGTTCGGTTGTCTGCTCTGCTCTGAGGTCAAAGTGATAGATTGCTACACCAGCATCTCTGTGGTGTGGGGACATAGGGTCTGGTCAGCCTCTCCTGCCTACCAGTTCCTCCTGGACTTCCCCCACCTCTCAGCTCACTGAGATCAGTGGTACATATCTCATTGATCTCAGCAGTGTGAAGTCTTTGGCGTGTGGTTTGTTAACCTGGCTACTCCAGGGCAGTCTGCCTCTCTGTTGTGGTGGTATTCCTGGGTCTGTTCTTCCAGTCCTCCACTTTGAACCCTCCTGATGCTCCACCATCAACTTTTTGGGAGATTTTCCTTGTGTGTGCGCTTTTCCACACGGTTACCACTTCTCATGCTTTTCTTATTATTTTCACTGGTGTGCAGAGCCATGGCACCATATATGACAACTCTTTCCTCTGTCACTGTCATTGCTAAGCAGCAGTCACATCTCACTCATCTTGCCCTTATAAACTGCAGAGACTAATGGCATCAGGTTGTGTGTCCTCTTCCTGTGTAGAATTTTATGGTCCTGTTTTTTCTTGGTCGTGTTGACCAAGCAAGGACAGAGGGAGCATGAAGCACTTAAATGAGATCAAAGTCTCTCTTGAAACCTGCACAGAGGGTACCCACCATTCTCCTAGAACAGGAACAGAAAAAAGCAGCTTGTGTCACTCTGTGTAACGATCATTAAAATAAGAATGGGAAATAGTACACTTCCCTCATGTCTTTTTGCAGTTCAGGAGTAGATGAATGACAATTTTGGTTCCTTGTCCTCAGATCGAGGAGTGGATGACTAATGTCATTGTGACTGGTGCCATCTAATTGGTTCAAAAGAATTTTCTGGTTGTTCTCATGATTAGCATCACTTCCCATCATGTGCCAACCACTGGAGTGCAAAGACCTCCTTTTGAACTGTCATATTATGAAGAAGATGTAAAAGTACTGGGTTTATGAAGCAATTCAATGTATATAAAGTATGTATGAATCAGTATTCTGATCTTCTTGTGCAGCAAGTCATGATGACTGATCTATTTCTACAGTTGCTAATTATATTATGTTAAGAAATACTTGGTGTTGAAGTGACTTTTATGCAAAAATTCAGTGAAGTTGAAATTTAAGAAGGACTCACCAGGAAGGTATAACTGAAATATTTTGCTTTGAGTCAGTTTGATCCATTTCAAAACAGTTTGTTGTGTTGCTGTGGGTTACTTAATGTTGAGTCTGAGCCATGTGTGTGAACTGCTCTGGTATTTTTGGGACAGGTAGCATTGTATCTTGATTATTTCTTACAGCAACCTCTGCATTATCTAACCAAGGGTGTGTTGCAGTCTCCCTTCTTACCTACTGTAGTGCTGGATCACGGGGAAAAAGGGACAGAGAGTCTCACTCTGGACAGATGAGACAAACTGATGTCAAACTGGGTCAAACCACAATATTTTGCTTTGGTTCAACTCATTGAAATGAAGTGTTTCAATTCAGGAATACCAAACCACTTCATTTTTTAATCAAAAGGAAATAACGTGTTTGGCACTTGCTAATGTCAGATTTATGAAGGCAGGGGTGTGAATTTCTCTTAGATGATGAAGAAACAGGGCTCCACCATAGTGCACCACACACCAGCCTAGGGAGAAAAGGGCTTTTATGCTCAGTTTGAAAGGCAGAAGTTACCAGTTCAAAGGAGCGAATATTACAGTAGCACCTTTGGAAGGTTAAGAGGGCAATGTCAATACAAACATGAGAAGAGAATCTGACATTGTAGCATAGACTCAAATTAAATACTTAATAGGCATGTTAGAAATTTGCTGGGATCAGTGACAGGACTGAAGCATTCATACAGCTCACTCTGTAAGGACAGGAGAGGTAGAGCAGCATTATCCATGCTTCTCCTGAAGCTGTGGACTGATGAAGGACAGACTTGGCTGGGTGGAGTTAGAAAGAGAGAAAGAGCAGAGCCTATTTGACAGGTGGGTTTAATTTAAGCCACCTGCCTGGGACGAGTGGAAAGATGCTTTTGATTGACTCTTGGAAGCACTTTTTAGCCAAATGTCAGTGGCAATGGACACTTCATGTGGATATCGCACGTAAAGGCAACATGGCAAAAAAAAATCAATGTATCACCATCTTGGAATATGTTGAGGCAATTCTGTTTCACAGGGTGAAAGTTACTGGGGAGCTATTTTAGCTGATCTTTAGCGAGGAGGACTTACCTGTGCACAGAATCGCAAGCTGGTTTGGGTTGGAAGGGACCTGTAAAGGCCACTTAGTCCAACCACCCCTGCAGTGAGCAGGGACATCTTCAACTAGAAAAGGCTGCTCAGGGCCCTTTCCATCCTTACCTTGACTGTGTCCAGGGATGGGGCATCCACCACCTTGGGGAGCCCGTGCCAGTGTTTCACTGCCTTCATTGTAAAAAACGGCTTCCTTACATCTACTCCAATTCTGACTTCTTTTAGTTTAAAAACATCACCCCGTCCTATCCTACGGACCCTGCTAAAAAATTTGTCTCTGGTTTTTTTTTGTTTGTTTGTTTGTTTGTTTTTTACAAGCCCCCTTTAAGTATTCTAAAGAAAGAATGGTTAATGACGTTGGAAATATGAATCCACGTAAGAAAGAGGTTTGGATTCCTGGACAGACTGTCAGTTTGTACAGACCTGGATTGTAAAATTATTTTAAAACATTAAAATTGCCAAGAGTAGTTAATGTTTAACTAATGTAATTTCTCAGTTTATAGGGCAACTAATATGCAGTAGATATCAGACAGATATTCATTTAATCTTGATCTTGGCTTTCAGCATCATCCTTCGTTATGTTCTCTGGGTTACCAGTCAAAATCTGAGTGATAAAACTGGGTAATTTGACCCAGTCAGAGTTGTCTGGTTGGACACATATGTTGATGAGGTGATAAGGTGAGGAGACACAACTCAAGTGTTCTAATTACATGGCACAGATAACTTAGGGAGAAAGTGGAACATTCTTGACTGAATTTTTGCAAGAACGAGTGTGGCAAATGTTTTTCAGAGATGGTCTAAATTATTTATTCTGCTTTACAGCAAGGGAGGAGATTAAATAATCCCTCCAGATCACCTCTAGGCGTGGATTTTTAATGTTCTATTAAGTGGGCACTTTAGGGTCTTTTAAGATCACCGATTCTCAGGTGGGGTCAGGACAGGGAAAGACAAGGTGCTATGGAAATTTTCCTCAGGGCAGGTGTTCATACAAGTACAGTTTTTGTGTTTTCCTGAAAAGAATTATTCTTTACCTGCTCTGCAGAACCTAAGACAAGAATGCCCAACTTCCTAGGTTGAATACTGCACATCAGACCAGCAGAAGCATTCCTAGAGGCTACAGCAGTTTATCTGAAAATGTTAAAATGTTTTTGCATAAGCCTGATTTTATTAAAGAGTTGTGCTCCAATGATGAGGAACAAAGGAAGGGCATGTGATAGAAATGTGCCATGTAAACAGCTCAGATTGCTCCTAGCAATTGCATGGTTCTAATTGGGTAACAGATCATGAACTGTATTTGTAAAGATTATTCAGCAGTTTCAAAACCCAAAAATATTTAAAAAACCCGTGCCTTTCTGGAGGTATCTGGCAAACAGATAAAGAAACAAAGTTCATTAATGGGTGAGTCATTGCTTCTGTGTCCTTGCCTGAGATACCCACACAAAACTCTTACTGGCTTCAGCAGGTGATGTGGTCAGCCCGAAGGAGAGCATGGCCTCTTGGCCAGGCTCTGGCCTGATTTCAGTCTTGCATTGCCTAAAATCACCAACAAATCAATCAGAGAGGAAAGATTGCCTCAACCAAGGTCCTTCAGCACTCTTCTTTCTCCCCTTCCTGTTCTCATCCTGCTCATTGCATCTTCTGCTCCTCTTATGCCCAGGGTCTTGCTGACCCTTTTTCAGGGTGGTGACCATGTGGCCGATCTCTCTGCAAAGCCCTGACTTGTGGGTGATAGCTACAGAACTTCTTGCCTTTGCTTGGCCATCACTGCTTTCTTCCAGAGTACCTTGCCCTTGCTACAGGGATGGTTGTTGCTCATGAAGCAGGGGCTGATTTGCAAATTAAAATCTTACAGTAATTCTATGTACTTTTATACAGAATTACAGAAGTACTGATTTAATTGACTCCATGGATTTGCAACCAGCAGTTCAGCAGCTGCTTCATGAGCCATCCTTGCAGGAGGGGAACGTCAGAGGGATGGGTGAGTTGGATGCTAAGAAGTGGGAATTGATCTAGTCATCCCAAGAGAAATCATCTCCATTTGTGAGTCAAAGCCTGCCGTCTCTTGCCTGAGATGAAGGGAATCTCCCAAGGGCAACTTATCTTGCACGATCTCATCACTTGAGATCAAACATCACGATATGGGGTCAATAGACAGTTCTAAAAGTGCACGCAAACCTCCGTTCAAATTCACATACAGCTCTAGCCAAAACACAACCCAAATCATGATCCAAATAACCTCCTCCTCAGCCCACCTTCATCGCTGTTCTGCTTCAGTGGCAGATGCAGCACAGAAAAGATGCCTGAATGCTTAATTCAGAAATTTACTGTTTAAGGCATTACTTGTATGAACACCAGCGTAACACATAGAATACCAATGCCCTAAATTTAGTAGTTTTGTCTGAGTCATTTTCACTATGTGGGAGGGCTGTGAAGACACTCCACAGAGTGGAGAAACTTGCTGGTGGTATCTGTCCAATGAGATTATTTTTTTTTAAAAGTCAGAACACAGCAGAACTACAGATATGTTTGTGAGTAAAATGCAGTTTTGTTGCAGACTTCATCACAGGAGTGGGGGGGGTGTTGCTCTCCACCCACTTCAAAAGCTGAAGTCGGGTTTGATTGATACGTATCTCTGACACTGAAATAGGTACAGAATTTTTCATGACAGCAACACACAGACACAGGTAAACACTCTGGCTGCGTGACTGGGAGGGATATGGTGTGGTGTAATCCCCAGATTTGTCTGTGCAGTTACAGCTTATTTTCAGATCTCCTAGCAATGGCAGCTGAGTTGATACAATCCTACATGTTACCAACCAGCAGGGAAAAGTTATTCCTGGACTTACTCACTGAGGGATGAAATGTCCCACTGAAGAGCAGGTGACTTTTGCTGCATAAGTCATTCAGTAGGGCTAGAGATACATGCACAGGCTTTGAAATAGATGTGGGTGCAAGTAATTAGGTGTGGATGTGAAGGAGGCATTTAGACTTGGTGTTCTGAGCTGGTAACACCTTTCTACCAGTCTGGATTTTATCCTTTCTCCATTACCCTTTCTGCATGAATGCAGCTGATTTCAAGTTGATATGAATTTAGCAATTTCGTTTTAGAGATTCCTTCTGGGACCCTGTGGAACAAAACTGCTCCTCTCCTCAAATAAAAACCTAACTTCAGTGCCTTATTTTAGCCAGAATCGGTCATGTTTTTATTCTGAATAAAAGTTAGTTCTAGCTCGACTCCTGCACTCTGGGTTTGGAGCGGACTCTTCCTTGGGCAGAGGTGAAGGGTGTTTTCATGCACTGTATCCTGTCTGATATCAGCCATGGCAGATATGTAAACATACTTGGGCTTGACCCTATGAACCTGATTCTCATGAGTGGTGCCACAGAGTTCAGGGCTCTGCTCACACACACCAGAGGATTGATTGTAATGTGTTTAATGCCAATGAGATGAACTCTGTTCCTAGAGAAACTCCAGTAAAATCAAAGGCTTGTTAATAGAAAAAGTAGTTAGCTGTTATCCTAAACAGAGCAAAATGCCAAACAAAATCCTGCTCTGCTATTTGTTCTCATGCCGGCATTTAGCTGCCAGGAAGGACCAGTCTTATAAACATGAAATTATATCCATGGTAACATGCAAGACTTGTTTAACTTTGAAGCATGTTAAAAGGTACATTAAAAAAATTTTCTATTTTACTGTTGAGAATAGCACTTATGACTTCTAACTCAACCTGAGAGCTGTTGACTGGTGAAGGTAAGGGCCAGAGGCACAACTCCTTCCTCAGAGCACTTGTTGTTGCTAGACATTCCCAGAAGGTATTATTGCTTAAATACAGCTTGTGTTTTCTTTACGCAGATTTCTTTAACTGGGAAGATATGACAGGTTGTGATATCGGACTGCAGTGAAGCTCCACCTGTGCTGTTCTACCCTTCATGAGTGAGCAGTGCTGGGCAGTAAAGCAGGCATGCTCCTGCCCTTTTCAGGTAAGTACTGGATTCGAGGATCCTGCTTTGTGATATGGCATCCTGCGATTATAAGCACTCTGCTCAGGAGCTTCTTAGTGACTCCTGCATCATGCTAGAAAGCAGACATTGCTCACAGAGCAGGAGAGCAGCTGGAGCAGGGTGTAGACTGAATTAGTGTCTGGGCTGGAAAATGTATTGGGAAAAGTAGCAGAAAGATCCCAACTTTGAGCAAAAGCTGAAGCTGAAAACTGCAGATGGTTTTCTTGTCTGTACGATAATGTCAAACCCAAAAAAAGGGAGTTTTCACACACTGTTGTCTGTTTAGCACAAAGTGAAAATTATGTACTGGAAAATGGAGTCCCATGTCTGGAGAAAACAGCTCTGACTGTACCTATACAATCCCATACAGGGCTCTGTGGAAGCTGGGCTTGGCTGCTTTGAGGACGTCTCTGAAGTCTTGAGCTCTGTTTATTGTGGAGTGAAGGGAGCGAAAAAGACCAATGGGATGTGCCCTCAGTAGCTTTTATCTATTGGCACCTGCATGATAATGCCACTTGAAATGAATTGTGCCAGGAACCACTTCTAAAAACTAGAAATTCCATCTGTAAGGGCAGCAGAACAGCCTGTGCTGGTTGTGAGGGCAGTGCCAGAGGTCACAACGGTTACAGGTGGATTCCACAAAGCATGTGGAAAAGAAGGACAGAAGAACAGGGTGTTCTGGTAGCTACTCTGTGTCCCTTGAAGCAAGGGGCTGATGGATGCAGTAGCCTGGGTGTGTCTGGCTCTGAAAAGAGAGCAACATCTTTGAAGAATACACATATATTTGCTGTCTTCTCTTAGCTGTTCTTCAGGGTTCTGCTTTTTTGTGTAGAAATTTAACAACACATGTGCTGGCATGAACCTGTCTTAAAAGAAAAGTGGAGATAATGTATCAGCACAGCCTGTCCCCTTTCTTGGGTAAATCCCTTTTTTTTTAGGAGAGACTCAGACCTATCTCTAGCTGGACAAGGAGGCTGAGCCACTTTTGTAAAGTGGACACAGACCACGTGTTCCAGAAGGGTGAATGATTTGACACTGTACCTCAGTTACTGGAGGTCTTGTGTTCAGCCTGGGGAGAAGGGAGTGTCTGAGATGCCTTGCCACTAAGTTGTTGGATGCTGGTGCAAGGGGAGAGAGCTGAAGCACCAGGGAGTACCAGAGTAGCATCCTGAGGGCCTGAATCCACAGTAACTTTTTACGTGCGACTTCAGTGAGAGTCGTCTGTTCCGTATCTTTTAAATACTTTATCTTCAGGTGCCTAGGATGAGAGCCTAGGAGCCTGAAGTACCTAATTTTGGAAAGAAAATGACTTTTTTGTGGGAAGTTTCCTTAAGGGACTTTAATGGTCATTGTGTAATGAACTTTGGATTCTGCCTTGGGTGGTGGTGTCCCTCATGGGATATGCACAGATCAGCCTGCAGAGCTGTCAGTACAAGGCATATTGCTGTGTCAGCCCTGTAGGTGCTCTGGTCTTTGCTCTGGATCTTAAATCTAGTCACGCAATTCTTCTCCTCTTGCAGGATGATGGTATCTCTAGCCCTGTCTGCTGGGTTCTTCCTGCTTTCGTGCTGAAGAGGTGTGTGGGAGAAGGTGGCCAGGCATATAGTGTTGTAACAACCTTCTACTGATGGAGGCGCAATGCTGGTGTGTGCTGGCAACACACCCAGCAGTGGATGCAGCTATTTCAGCAAAACTGTGCCATCTACTCCTGAATCTAGTGGGAGCAGGAGAGAAACAATATTTGCAGAAGTCTGGGTTGGAGGGCAGTGGTGTGTGTGTAACAGCTGAAACGGGGTGCAATGCTAGCCATGGGTTTTAACCTTCACATTTCAGTGCACACAGCCAGTTGTGTGCATCTAGCTGGGATGTCTCCTGCTGCTATCATTTCTGCTGGGGAAAGCCTCATTTAAAAGGTCCTTGAGCACTGGCCAGGAGAACTGTGGCACCCATGGGGACATGCTGGGACTCAAGAGACTCCATTAACTCAAGGACTTCCCCTAACCTTAGCAGACCTCAGGGCAGACGTCCAGCACTTGGATCCTGACCTCAGACCAAATGCCTCTGTCAGGTATCTCTGAGGGGAATTTAATTGAATTTTTCTCATTTCGTCATTAAATACCCATTGGTGGGTTCTTCTGTTGAAGAGACAACAGGACCCACTGAAGGGCTATTTTTCCATGAGGGTAACTTACTGGTGACAGCTTTGGTGGGTGGCTACTGAACCAAGAGTGTCAAAGCCAACATCTAAAATGACCTTTAGGCTGTTTACTCAGAGCAGTAACAGACTCGCCCCCGACTTCCTGATAAGGCCATCACTTATCAAGAAGTAAGAAGAGCAAGCGGCTAGATATGGAAATCATTGTGGGAGTGAGCCTAATTAAAAACATACAGCATCGTACAGAGGCAATATTACTACACTGGAAACCTTTGCCTCTTCTGTGGAATATGTATACAGAAAACAGGACAATTACCAGGAATTGGGAAAAAAAGAAATATCTATTCAAAGTCAATTCCAAAACAAATGGAAAGCCTTCTCTTAGACAGACAGACATGTATAATTTAATTCAAGTGTCTCCTCATGACCCATGATTCTTTTTCCTAGCTATGCAGTAAAGTATCAGAAGTCAATGATTTTCATCTCACTTAGGTGAAACTTTTTAGTAGAGCAGTCTAAAGTAAGCCAAGAGATTAAGTAGACACTAAAAAAATTAAGTAAGATCTTAATTTAAAAGCTGGATATGCAGAAAGCTAAGTATCAAATAGAAGCCAGTGAGTCTGGTTTTCACTCTGAATTAGAAAATTAGGTTCTTACTTTAAAAAAAGTTTCTCCATAATCATAAGACAAATATATACTTTAATACTTGCCTTGAGAATTGCTTGGGTTTTTAATGGATTTATCTCAATAAGCTAAGCATTTCACCATCTCAAACTAAACTTGTTTTTTTTTGCTGATGTTCACCTGGCTTTGTTCAAGAGTTTGTTTTTTCTTTTAATTAATCTTTCTGTTTATTTGAGTCAAAATAGCAGCACCCTCTAATCCCACTTTTGTATTTGCTAGAGAATGTCTAGACCGGCTAGCGTGAGGGTTTTCATCCTGGAAGGTTTTAGTAAGATCCTTCTCCACTTGCTATAGACGTCACACAAGCACTGAAACTGAAAGTTTCAGATGCGATACAACACCTAGCAATAAACTGTTTCGCCTTTTTTTTTTTTTTTTTTTTTTAAGGGAAAGAAATACCATCTTTTGGCAGGGTTTCCTCTCAAACCTCAGAGACTTGCTGATCTGTCACGTAGATCTGTACCGTGGTTGCAAAATATCAAAACAGAACTAAGGATTTTTATATCTACTCTTCCCACCCAGCACTCACAGCTCCTTCCCCCTTCCCTGTCTGTCGGGTAGTTTCTGAAGGCGTTGAGGAGACGGGAAGGGAAGGGACACAGAACTGACCATTGGACAGATAAATGGACAGCAGTGCCAACAACTGAGCCCCATTTCTTTAGGAATACAGCCTGAAAATGCCTTGCTAATTAGAATGGATGATGAATATTTTATTTCTTGAGGAAAACTACAGTTTTTTTGAGGAGAGGTGGGGGAAAGCGAGGTAGAAGCAACTGGTTTCCATGTCAGATTAAGGAATTGCAAGTCTTCCGGGCAAATGGTCCATTCTCTTCCTTAAACTCTGGACTTTTTTAATGTGAATGATGGTTTTCTGTTGTCATGTGCTGTTGTGATACATTGTGGGAATATTTGGCAATGATGCATGTTGGACATGGAGTCCAGTTGCAGCTATTGGTCCATGAAGGATAATGACATCCAAACCATAACTCCAGTTAAGTCACTGAGATATTCTATTACTTATCAATTTTTGGAATTTTCTTTGCAATTTTCTATGCAAAGCAGGCACTTGGAGTGGAAAAGGTCATTTTGATAAAAATCCAACTTTTCACTAAAATCAGTTCTCTTCTGCACCCTGTCCCAAAATCTGTTATGTTAACAGTGTTCCAGAACAGCTTTGCCATCTGTCAGAAGCAGTTTTAGGTAACAAATTATTCAACCTAACTGTGCCCTATCTTTGCCACACCAGTTGTGTGTGTCTTTGAACTTCCTTGGGATAGATAATCCCGAGGCTCCCCAAAGCTGGCAGGAATCCCAAGACACTGAGGGGGAACCCCTAGAGCCAGGAAACAGAATTGTCCTGAGGACATGGGTGTTTCTGAAGTACCAAGCCCCCTCCTGAGGAGAGATATCTTCACCTACTACTGCAGAAAGCTAGTGTGTTCCAGCACGGAGATAGTACTGTTCCAGAAAGGAGCGTACGCCTTGCTCTCCCTTTAAAATGGATCCTCCTTTGCATATTGGGTATGCTGGTAGGAGGTGGGAGGTCACACTCAGACTCTTTCTGACAAGATCCAAATTCATATTATCCACCCCCACTTACTGCCTAAAACATGTGAAAAGTGCTCAGATAAGGGATTCTCTTTCAGCCATGTGTCCTAATCACTGGGCTGAAGATTCAACCCTCTTAGCATCAAAGCCTGAATTTTTGTTGCATGATTTCAGCAGGGGAGTCCCCTATCCAAAACACCGTGGTTAAGGCATTTTTTGAGGCGGTGAGAGACAAAGGTTTGGACTGATGAATACATATCTTATGTTTCCTTTCAAGAGCATGCTAATTACAAGAGTGTGATATGAGAAGCAGACAGTGTTGCCACTACAGAATTGGTTACTCAGCCTGGGTTTTAAAAGCAAGTGGCCCCAGCCAGCTTTGAGAGGCCAGGCAGCGCTGGGTCAGTGTGCTCGCAGCTGTGCTGCCTTGAGTGTGGCCTTTCTGGGGCTGGGCTTCAGTCTGGAAGGGATTTCAGTCAAGCCTCTGAGCCTGGGGAATATCTTGGGAATATGGGAGGCAGTCAGAGGGCAGGGGCATGCCCAGCTCTGGGGAGGGCAGAGGGGAAGCCTTTTATGTCCGCAGTTTAGGGCT